GAGTTTTGAAGGAGGTCAGGAGTTAGCCAGACACTGAGCAGAGTGAGGGGTAGACTCTGGAGTGCCAGGAAGAGTGAGGACAGGCCTCTTTCCTGACCCCTGGTCTACTGCTCTTCTCCCTGTCTCTTGTTTTGTTTCAAAAGAAGAAAACTGAGTCTCATTCAAGTCATTTTGTCTGTACCTTACACTGGGCTGATGTGCAGTCACAGTGCCTGTGTCTTCTCAGAGCCTACCATGCTGCCTGGCGCACAATAGGGGTTCAATCAATGGTGAATGAATGAAAGATTCTTTGTTGGGATGCAGGTCTGTACCTTCTTTTAGGAATTTCAGTGCCAGAGAACTGTTGGTTAAGAAATGTCAAACCAAGAAAAGACCTTGGGGTGATTCATTCCCAGTGAGTGCACTCTAATCATATCCCCCTGGGCAGTTTCTCACCACCATCCAGGTGGGCACAGCAGCCAGTGTCCCAGGCCAAGGCACTGGGGAGTGGGAGGAGGGTTGGTGGGCCCCAGAGACAGTAGATAAAGGTGCAGCCAGAATTCTGGGAATTGAAGGGTTAACAAAGCCAGATCTCAGATTGGTGCCACTTCTGGCACTGGGGGGAGCCTGACCAAGTACCCCATTCTGAAGTGTGCCTGTACTGATCTCCCAGGCCAGGGCCCTGGTCTCTGGAAACCTCAGGCAGGCCCCTTCCAGGATTATGTTTTAAAGGGAAATGCAAAATCATCTGGAGGCTGCTTCGTGCGTGGAAGAAGTGAAAATCGATTCTGTTTTCATTAAAGTGATTTTTGGACACTGTCAAAAGCTCTCTCATCTCAGGGCACAGGGTGACAGATAGGCTGCCGGTCTCACTTATATAACCAAGCCAACCGGGCAGCAGCAGGCCGTCTCACTAGAAGCGACGCTGCTCCACACCCTGCCCAAGCCCCCTCCCTAAGATACCAAGAGAGCCTCATCCCATCCTGGCTGGAGCTGGCCATCGATGGCCCTTGTAGGTGCTGGCTCAGAAGGCTCTCCTCCCGCGTGCTCCCCTCTTCCCTACACCCCAGCCGAGATTCACCCACGGACTGGCTCCAGTAGTCTAGGCCAATCGTGATGCCAAGCAAAGACAAGCAAACTTAAGAAGGAAAATCTGCTTCGACAAAGTCTATGACCCATAATACATTCCCAAACTAGATACACTGGTCTTATTTAATATTGGGAGTCCTGTGTTATCCCTTCCCTCTGTTAACTGAGATAATTGAGGATTTATTTTATTTATAGCATCAATTATGAGCACAGAAATTAATCCTTTAATGGTGCAATTGGGAGCTCAACTGTCAAAGGGGCCTAAAGGAAACCTGGGCTGGGCATGGGGGTCTTCCCCACCAGCACAGGAGGCTGCAAAGGAAAGCCATCCTCAAGCCTTGGTGGCAGTTGGGCTGTTATTATATTGCGTGCTTAAGGTATTTGGAGATATTAAATAAACAGGAATAATTGGCTCCAGGAGATCTCTCCCTGGAGGACACCTGAGTAACTCATCTGCAAGTCCTGGGGAAGCAGACAGAGATGGCAACCAGAGGCAGGAAGAGCGAACTCCTTCACTCAGCACATCAACCCTCGGCCTGTTGGTCAGCCCCGCTCTGCAAAGGAGCTGAAGACAGTCTCTCCAGACTGAACTAGGAACTTGGGGAAGGATTAGGGTGCGGAGGGTCTGGAGACAGGAAGAACCAAGGGTCTGCTGGGAGCTGTTGGAAGCAGCCAGATAGAACACGGAACACGGCAGAATAATCGCCTTGGTATTCCATGGTCACTTGGGGCTCAAATGCTAGCGAAGAGTAAGAAAAGACAGGCTTTCCAGAATAGTTAACAAGCCTACAACTAGCCACTGAATGTGCTCAGGAAAGAAACCAGCCAGGGGAAAGGAAAAGGTTTCCAAAGTTGAGTTGCTAAGACCTCCAATAAGGGCAAGAAGACCCCCACAATGCTGCAGAGCATCCCAGAGGACAGACCAGACACCAGGTGAAGGCTGCCCTCCCCTTTCCCAGAGGCTAGGGCTGGGGCAGAGCACAAATCTTGGGTCCACCCTAGAGAGAGAACAGGCAGGTCTGGAAGGGACTGAGAACAGTATCAGCCCAGGCAAATGGAAAAGGCGCCCCATTCACATTGACTGCTCCATTAAAAAGCCTTTGGCCAAGCACCTGCTATGTATAACCAAGCAGTGAGCCTGGCAATGGTTCCAAGTGCCAACTCAGGTCAAAGTCAAAGTAACCCGATCCAGCATCAAGCTACACCCGCCAGGGTGGAGGAGAAGAAAAAGCCTGCTTTCCTGTTACTTATCTGAGATTAAGGAAGACACTACCAAAGGCTTCCTCTCTTGCCCATTAGTTTCTCCTCCCAGAGGCTAGACATCTTGATGCATGGGGAAGGGCAGGGTGAGGAGCCCACAGGGCCCACAGTCGGGGGGGCCTGCTTCTCCCACACAGGCATCCACCCCATCCTCTTTGCCTTCACCCTCCAGCAGAGTCCTCTTGATCCCCCCCAAGAAAGTGAATGTGAGGCTAAGCCTGTCCCTCCCCTGACCCTGGACTGGCCCCTTAATCTACAGGGTGTGTGTGAAAGGACAGCAGTGGTCTCCCCAGCCACAGTAAAACACTGGATTTTGCTATGGAAGCAGCCATGAATTTTGAAGAAAGTATTTAAACTGGCTAGAAGGAAATGTTTTATATAGAAAACCCCTGTGTGCCTAGTACAGAGCCACATGTAGTACTCACTGCACTGATGCTTTCCTCAATAGCGATATGACTGGAAGAGACTACGAAGCCCCGAGGACATAATAAAAAGGTAGTAACTCTGAACTCTATGGGCTCGGCTGGTGTGGGGACAAGGGGAGTGGTGGTGAAAAGAGAAAGGGCACTAGAGACGGCCAGACTGGGATTTGAAAATCAGCTCTGTCCCTTATCAGCTATGTGACTACAGAAATTACTTAACCTTTCTGAGCCTTGCCTTCTGTATCTTCAAAGTTGTACAGACTTTTTCCTACCTTGCAGGGCTGTTGTGAAGACTTAAAGAGATAATATTTGCAAAGTGCTGAGCACATTGCTAACGCGTCGCAGACACACATATGCTGCTATACTAATAATAAAAAGTAATGGGCCAGTGGCCACTGAAGTCTCCACTGATCTCCTCTGAAACAATCCCGTTTTAACTCTGACATTCATCCATTTGGCCATGTTTTCCCATGGCAGTCCTGAGGCATCACTCCAATGTCATGAGTCCCATCAAGGGGCACTTGAGGGCACTGGGCAGTCAAAGCCACATCAGAAGTGTGGCCAGGGAGGTCCTGGACATGGGTGAGGCCCCTTCTAGAAAGTGAATAGATAGTCAGGGTTGGCCTGGAAGGGGCAATGTGCTTCCTTCTCTTGACACGGTGGCCAGCTCTCCAGCCCAATTGATCCCTAAATATCCCATTGTGCCCAAAAGCCCACATCTGCCACCAGAGCCAAGAGGACAAGGTCAAATGACCAGACATTCTTACCCACTCTGGGTGGGAGCAGTATTTGAAGGTGTGTGTGTGTGTGTGTGTGTGTGTGTGTGTGTGTGTGCTGGAGTGGGAGGAAGGAGCAGGATGGCCTCTGTCAGACAGACAAGAGGTAAAGGGAATGCCCCCATCAAATGCGGCCTCCACAAATGGACAATGACACCCCTTGCTCTCCCCTTGCTCCTCCCTCCCGTGTGGCAGAATGACAAATGTAGTCATTTTAAAAGGTCCCATCACCTGCTCAGTCATTCCTAATAAGCACACACAGCACTACAGAAGAACCGACACCAGCGCCACAGGGTTTCAGCCAGGAAAAAAATCGAATCGCCAGGACGCCACCAACTGAATTGTCAAAGACCAAATAAAAAGCTTCATGAATTCTCCATCAGCAATATAACGCTTCCCGGCCTAAGCAAATATAGACCCAGCATATGAATTGTGAACGGATTTTGCATTAGCTTCAATGACTTCCAATAGCTGAAGCAGAAACCCCTAAGAAATACGCGTCTCCACAAAGCTGCCTTCCTCGGCTCTAATCCTGTTAGGGTGAAGATTGCAATCTTTCTGAGCCCCCTTCCTCTGATGGAAAGCTTCACATCCCCGCACTATAAATACATTTCTGTGACCTCAGCTAGAGAGGGGGCCTCGGGGAGATGGAAGAGACCGAGTCACCCATGCCCTCGTGCACACCTCTCCCTCCCTCTGATGATATTGCTGCTTCTGTGTCTGACCATATGATCCATTCAGACCATCTCACAATCATCCAGGTAGGCTGGGTCATTCAATCGGAGTCGGGCTGAGAAAGCAAGACTGCTCCTCCTTGAGTGAGAAAAAACAAATCGGGTGCCCTGCTTTGCAGAAAAAAACCCAAGTTGAGTCACTTAGAGAAAGTCTGCTCAGAGCTACTGAGCCCTTGAGCATCTGTGGCAGCAGAAAAGAAAAGGGACGCAAAAGAGAAAACAGCCTGCAAATATACTACAAAGAAGAAACGCAGAGGGATCCAAAAAGAGTGTTCTCCGTGTCTTCTGTTAATGGAAATCTGTACCCTCCTTGCAACACTCGCCGAACTTCTCACAGCCATCTTCCTTCCCGCCTGCTGTTCTGTTTTTCTCCCCATGGCAGCCCTTATATGCACAGATACATATAAAAATGCAGCAATCACCATTCACCACCCCCCAATACACACACACACACACACACACACATACACAGAATGCATGGCTGAAAAAAGAAATGGTGACTTAATTTTCCATGTTTTATGAAATATATGTCCCCCTCCAAAAAAGAAAGCTCAATTCAGAGCAAGCCACTACCCCCAAACAAATCACTCATGTGCCTTCCTCTTCTGATGAGGTAACTTCCCTTGCTCCCACAACTTGGGTAAGCGACTCCATCCTCCTCTGCCCAATCCAGATATCATCCAAAGTTTCCCCATCCAATCCAGCCTCCGCCCTTCTCCAGGCCAACAGCACCGACTTACCCCAATGTGGTCATGGTGACAATGGTGTACCAAAAAGAGGCAGGGATGCTTGTGAACTTGCTGGCAGAGGAGCCCTTCTCGGCATAAAACATCACAGTGGCAAAGATGATGATGGCCATGGTGAGGGAGAAGAGGAGAAAGCCGAGTTCAGAGGCACAGCTCTTGAGTGTGTAGCCCAGGATCCGCAAGCCCTGCGAGTGGCGGGAGAACTTGAAGATCCTGAAGACGCGGAAGACCCGGAGCGTGACAAAGGCACCAGACACGTCCTCGTTGTTGGTCATGACCAGGCCAATGTAATAGGGCATGATGGCCACCACGTCGATGATGCTCATCACGCTGCGGATGAAGCGGTAGCGGCTGGGCGCCGCGAAGAGCCGGAGCAAGTACTCCACGGTGAAGATCATGACACAGGCCGTGTCCAGGCAAAAGAAGGCCACCGAGTAGCGCTCACCACACGGCAGCTCCTTGCTCCCAGGCACCGTGCCGCATGGCACTGTCTCCACCACGTTGGTGATGACCGAGACGGCGATGAAGAAGCCAGTCACGTAGTAGAAGACCAAGGCCAGGGTGCTGGTGTGCGGGTTCTCGAAGGCCCGCCACATGGTCTGGCGGAAGCTGAGCGAGGGCATGGACTCCTGGTTGTTCTCCGAGTCGTTGTCGTCCATGAGCCGCTCGGCGTTCTCCCTCTTGCGGTCCTTGTACTCCTCGTAACAGCAGTCTCCGATGATCTCCGGGAGGATGCCGTAGAAAGCCAGCTCGTCGTCGTAGGCAGAGATGCACTCATAGCGCGGGTAGTGCAGCTTTCCTGTGCGGTAGAAGTTGAGGACGCAGCGGAACACTTCTGGGTCCCGGTCAAAGAAGTACTCCTTGGTGTCCTCGTTGAAGAAGAACTCCTTCTCCGTGCTGCCCAGCAGCGTGTCGGGGTAGCGCTCCAGCGTGGTCCGCCAGGTCTGGAACCTCCGCCCGCTCACGTTGAGGACGATCAGTTCATCCTGCCGCTTGTTCTTGTCGGCCGGGGCAAGGGGCATGGGGCAGTTGGCCACTGGCATCCACCCAATGGCCGCAGCCCGCGCAAAAGGCAGCCAGGCTGCAACTCCTGCGGCCATGGTGACTCCAGCTCTCGGGCGGGCCACTGCTCAGACACTTTGCACACCAGCTTGGTGACAGTTCAGCACCTCTAGGAGACAGGAGGAGAGAGCAGAGAACCGGGTAAGTCCATGATTGACTCCCAGGTAGGGAGTGGGACACAGGGAAGGGTCAGTGGTGAGTGAAACAGCAAAAGTCTTGAAGGCAAATTAATTAAACCGAAGTCACCACCAAAGAGAGGGGACTTGATTCTTTTGCCTCCCCTGGTAAAGAGAGCCCCGGGCATGGCAGCAGTGTGGGATTACCAGATGTTGTTGACTGCCTGACAAATTGTCAAGTTCCAAGAAGGCTCAGGAGCATTTGGAGGGAAAGCCTCTTTAGCAGGAATATCCGGGAAGACGCGGGCAATAATCAGCTCTGAAAGGTTATGGCGTTATTACGAATTTAAATTGGGAGAGGGTAAATGAGTTCTCATTAAACGAATTTAAAAGTGGGATAAACATGCTAATTTTTATTTCGCTCTTCACCCACCAGGGTAATTAGGGATGGGGTGTGGATGAGGGAGATCAGGTAAACACATTCTTTCTACTCCTCACTGGTGAGGAAGAAGCTGGGGCTGCCCACGTCTGGAAAATTCTCTGCGATGGCAGGTGACCACGGTGGGCCGAGGGATTGGTGGAGTTCTGCCCCCAAGTCCCATGGAGAAGCCTGTCCCTGGTGGAGTGCTATTCTCCGGGACATCTGGTAACCTAGTGTTCAATCAGGCCCCTCAGATAGAAAGAAAACATCTTTGATAGAAAGATGTGGGAGAGGTTGTGAGGCTAGGCAGGGTTCCTTCCCCACCCTGTAAACAGAGTCTCGGATTCTGGGTTCACCTGCCTTCCATGCATTGTCCCTCTCCCTCCCAGAGGAAGCTGATCCACACTCACTGCCATCTCCAGATTCCTTGCCTCCCGTCTCCATCTGCCCACAATCCATAGCTCCCTCGGGTTACATAACAATACTCTTTCTCATGCCAGCCTATTTCACCTGGCCCCACTCCACCCTTGGAGGTTCCTCCAGAGCTGGGCCACCTTGTCCCTTCACCCACCACTCTCTGAACCACACCGTGTACACACCTCCCCATCACCTGCATGGATGGCGAGAACAGTGACACAGAGAATTATTTTTGGCTCTGGGAAACAGATTTACCTCCCCAAATCTGGCTTTTTAAAGATGATAGTGAAATGACTCTGAATCCCCAAATGTATACCATCTGTGGGAAGACATGTGGTGACACAGAAACATACGTAACAGCAATGGGAAATTGTTTGGGGTTGACACATTCATTTTCACTAATCCTAAACTGATCACCCAGAACCAGTCCTAACTCAGAATTATTCGGATTGTCTGGAATTCAGTGGATTTGACTCTGTGTTTAAATAAATGAGGTAGAGGTGAGTCTTGTAATGAGATTTGATCTTCATCTTTCTCTGTAAACCTGCTTCCTTCTCCTGACTCCCGGCTCTTCTAGGTTGTTCAGATCTCTACCTCTTCTCACTCCTGACCTCTCACTGGACTTGCCCATCTTGATGCCTCTGAAGCTGGAAGGTCTAAACGGAATCTGCCTTCTTGCAACAAGCTGCTCTTCACCTTTTGCTCACATCATCCCTGACGCCAGGCCTGTCACAATGGCCATCTTCCTCACTGCTTCACCCAAAGAGTTACCAAATTATGAGACGATAGCTCTTACTGCCCTCATCAAGGCCCCAATTCCCTCAGGCCTCCTTCCCACTGGCCTGCTTATCTCTCATCCCACCCCCCAACCCTGTTTCTCCTGTTCCCCAGATGTCCATTCTGCCCAGAGTAATCTCCCTAAAGCATGGATCTGAGTGTGCTTTACTCCACAGCCTGTGAAGTCAAGTCCAAACTCTTTGGCCTGGCATTCCAGCATTTCCACAAATGGGTCCTGGCTTACCACTGCAGCCAATGTCCCATGCACCCATCTGAGCCTCCAGCAACAGACCACAGACCAGCTCCTACACAGAACTGTGGGAGTTGTCTCTGGGCATGCTTCCTTCTGCCGGGAATATCCTCCTGTTAGAACCCCACTGTTCCTCACCCTTTTTGTGATGCCCCCTCCTCTCTCTAGTATGAAATTCTCCCCTTCTTCGGGCTCTCAGCACACTGTGTGCCCTCTTCTCTAGCACCCATCACCCTCTGGCCTGGGTCACAGACACTTCCTACATGTCTTATTAATAACCATGGCGAACAATAATTGAGTGCTTACTCTATACAGGCACTGCACTCACTGTCTCCATGGATCATCTCATGTAATCCTCACAGCAACCCAAGGAAGGAGGCTGAAATTTAGCAGTCTGCCAGCAGGAAAGGGGCGGAACAGGAATTCCACCCCAGGCAGTCTGACTCTACACCACTTGCCCCACAGCATTGGACGACACTACTTCCTAAGGCCTTTCTGTGTTTACTGAGGGCTGACTGCGTGCCAGGCTCAGACCCAAGTGCTTACATGGACCATCTCAACCCACTACCAACAACCCTAGGGGGTAGACACCACTGTGTCCCCATTTTACATATGAGAAAGATGAAGCATGAGGAGTTGTAATAACTGGCTAAAGGATGTAATAAGTAGGCAGAGAGACTTCAACCCAGGCAGTCTCAATGTGGAGTTCAAGGGTACAGCCCTGCTTTGCCCATCCTACGCTAAGCTCCTTAAGGGTAAAGGCCATGATACCTCAATTTTCACATGACAACCCAGGAGGTAGGAGAGTGCACTGCATCAGTGCTCAAACTGGGAACCATTTGTATTCCATTGATTTCACTCCCTGCCTTGTTAATGAATTTCAGGGGTTTTCAAGGGTGGGCATTCTCTCTCCACACAGTAAACTCCGAAGACAGATCCGAATCGAAAGAATCCAGTTGAAGTGCCTCTGAGGCACTGTGCTCTCAGTCGCGTCTTCTCAGGGAGCCTGTCTCTGCCTTAGTTTCCTCATCCGCATTCTAAGGAGAATATTCATAGGTCCCTCTGCTCCCTCATAAAGGGAGTTGATTCAGATGCCAGAGAAGACAACAGGAATGACAATGACATTCCCTATAAATGTCACCACTCAGAGAACAGAAAAAAAGCACAGGCCTGATGAGCTCTTGATTATGGGAACCAAGGAGAGAACAGGGGATGGTTCATCCACAGCGGTGGGTAATCCACATGCCACTGAGAGAAGATCTTGGAACATCCTGTGCATTTTGTATCTTTCCTCAAGAAATGTACCCTTATAACTGCCTAGACTTCCTTCAGGTTACCAGAATTTGTAGTCCCTCAGCACATACTTAGCTAGGTCTTCCAAGGAGCAAGGGAAGTTTGGGAAGCAAGCCCACAAGTTAAATGTTAGTCACAGATTGGTCCATTTCAGATTTAGTGAACATTTACTGAGCACCGACAATGTTCTGGGCATTGTCTTAGGTACTTTCACAGCAACATTTAATTTATCCCCACGAAAGTCTCATGACCTGGACATTTCTGCCTACAAGTTTCAGATAAGGAGCGGAGACTCAGAAAGCTTCCTTCAAAGTGGCTAAAGTCCATGTACATAGGAGTTGATGATTTTCCAATGGACCATTGATCAGTTCACTGCCAAGTAGCTTTCCTGACCTAGGTGTAGCCAGATACTGATGTTCCCCACAGAAGAGAGCAGGATGAAGAGACTCCCCATTCCCCATCCCCAGGTAGCAAAGAGCACGGGGTGGGGAGGCCCCGCATTCCAGTTTCAATCCTCTCCTGAACTTGTGAAAGCAAGCCACCATTACCCGCCGGGCCTCAGAATCCTCATCTGCATAATGAGAGAATTGGACAAGAAAGTGAGAAGGCGTCCTTTGGTGCAAACAATCCTTGACTCTACTGCATCCAGGACATCGAGGCTCACGTCTCACTAAGACCTCTTCAGGACAGTCGCCCATGCAAAGCAGGAAGTAGAGCATCCGGGTTTGTTGCTGTGGGGACTGAGGTAGCCTGAGCCTCCTCTTAGGAAACACAGTTCTGGGAATTCCTGATGAGGCTGGTGCTCAAAACAGGGCACACAACCCGCATGACTCAGAACTCAAGGTAATCTGAGGCTGGGTCCACCCACAGACCCCCTGGCCACCCCCCTGGAGGGTAAAGGGGACCAGGCTCCCAGACCTTGGACCCTGGACCTCTGACCCTTGACATCACTGCTTTATCCCAGAATGGAGCTCAGAGAGGCAGGACCTTTGAGGGGGTTCGAGTGGCAGAGAGTAAGAGACTACTGAGTCAGGAGTACCCTGAAGCCCCCTGCTTGGGCCAGACATGCAGCCCTGCACACTGGACGAGGCTGATGCCCTTCCTGTCCATTCTCCCACTGCTGCTCCACCCTGACTCCCATGCCTCCATCCTGGTACCTGCCCCTGCCAAGCTCAGCCCCACCACCTGACCCTCTCCACCCCACGCAATCACCTCTTCTCTAGGGGCCATGGGTATTTTACAAACTGCTTTCAGATAAACAACGGAAAGATGAGGAAGGAAAAAACAACTCCCTACTATCATAAAAACCTCTGGTCCCAAGGCCAAACTGTCACTCCACGCATTAATCCAGGACAGTCTTCCCAAAGAAGGCCAGGCAAGAGCCAGGCTGACTCCAGAGGCTCAAGCCCTGTTTCTCTGGTAAAAGGTACCAAAAGGAGCAATTATTCCACTGCTCCTTTCTGTGTGTGTGTGTGTGTGTGTGTGTGTGTGTGTGTCTGGGTTTGGAAGGGGAGGAAAAGTGTCTCCCCAGATCCCATGCCCAAGGTCACACCACCATCCCCTCCACACAGCCCTGCAGGTGTGACCCGGCTCAAGTAGGGCTTCTCCATGGCTCTCACCATGGCGCCCCCCCGCCCCCCAGGCACCAACACCTCCTGGAGCCGACCTGGGTATGAATTCCTGCAACAGGCGCAACCATGCGGCCCCATTTCCAGCCAATGGCACCGCACATGCCTCAAATGCCAAGGTTTTACTAGGACGTGGACGCCTTACAAATGAAAAATCTGAAGCTATTTTTGTTTTTGGCAGAAGAGTTTGACAGTGGGAAAGACAGGGGTGGGGGGAGGCGAGGGAAGAGACATTTAAAACAGGTGAGTGCTGAAATGACAAAGGCAAAAAATCCCGAAAAAGGGAAATACATTTTCCCCTACTGGAAGAAGTCAGCCCTGGGAAACAGCTCCTGTTTGGGAGGCAGAGGGCCAAAAGTGGGCAAAGTGACCAGACAGCCCATCCTGGAGATTGACACCTAACCTGAGCACAGGCATAAGGCAGCAAAAAACGTCACGTCACCAAGGTCTGCCCTTCAATGACCTCGGCAGAGCTCTGGGTGTGGAGGGTCTCCCGAAACTTCGACTTTTCGCAATTTCACATCACATCGCTTAGCCCAGAATGGGGCCAGTCTGGGGGAAGGGAGGGGCCTGACAATCCAGGGGTCTTTCACCTGTGCCCACAGAGTTTGGGTAGGCAAGCATAAAACTGACAAGATGCCAAGCTGGGGATCCTTGGGGTACAGGCCTGGGATGCACACACGGATCGTCTTCTCCCACAGTGCCACTCCTAGGCTGGCCAGGGCACTCTCCTGAACTCTCTTTTTCTCCAGCCTCCTCAACAGCAAAAGGGAATAAGCTACTAATCTCTCTTCCTCTGGAGGTCTCTTGTGTACTCGCATTTTGTTGCATTCAAGTAGCGACAAGGAAAAATAAGCACATCAACTCCCATGTGCCAACAGGTCCACATGGGGAAATGTACACATGCTTTGCATTGAATTCATGCACGCCCAGGCCCCCTTTCTACAGACGTTAAATATCCAGATTTCTTTAAAGTAACGGTAAATAAGGTGTAAATTTAACCATCACGTACATTCATGCAAAATACCAACATGCACCATACAGCAACCTGTGCGGGGTCTTACAAACAGATGGCATTGTGCCTAGGATCACGAGAAAGTTCAGACACCCTCTCTTAAGACATACAACGGAGCCTTCTCTTCACTATAAGATTCCAGGTCCGGAACCTCAGCCTGTTGCTGACATATCAGGGCTGCCAGGGATAAAAGCAGAACATCTTGGATTTGATTAAAATGTCAACACTAAGCAAGTGCAGGAATTTAGTTGATTCCAGGTAACTTCTCTGCCCAGTCCCTTCGGCGTCCCATCTCCGATGTAAACACCTTGCAAAGTGAGTCTTTCGAACCCGCTCCCCCGGGCCACGTTGGCCCCCAGTGTCACTGAGACCTTTCCCAGAGCTCACAAGGTGGAAGCGGCGTCGGGCAGGACCAGAGGTGCGGGCCCCCAGCCTCTGGTAGGCACACCGCCTGGCTAGAGAACTTTGCGAAGCGCCCCAAACCTGTTTCCACCCTCAACCATTTCTCTTCTCCCCTCACAAAGAGTGGTGGGACTGAGCAAGCCGTCGCCACCTGCCGCCGGATCCCGGGGCGCTGCCTCTGGCATCCCCGAGGGAAGGCAGGCCAATGGAAAGAGGGCAGAGGTTCACACTCCCACCCCCAAACCTCACATCGCTTTGCTGCTCGGAGGTGGCTCCCTAGCCCGAGGGAACCGACGCCCCCGGGCCGGCTGCCTGCTCCCCCACGGCGCCGGCCCCACCCCCAATCCTTCCGGCGCCCCAGCGCCCACCCACCCGGGCGCGGGAGTGGGAGGGTGCCGCGTGGGCAGCTGGAGCAACAGGCGTGGGAGAAGCGTTCCTCGCACTTCCTGGCTCCAGAAGGCTCGGTCGCGTCCCTCTTACCTTCAGCGAAGCAAGCCCCGGGCCCCGCGCCCCGCGCGCGCGAGGAAGCTGCGGCCGGGAGCCGGGGGCCGCGGAGGCGCCGAGCGCCCAGCAGCCGCCGCTCGAGCGGCTCCTCCTCGCCGGCGAAGTCTCGCTCACTCCCTCCCTCGCTCGGTCCGTTTGTGCGTCTGTCTGTCCGTGGGGCCCTCCCTCCCCCGCCGCTGCCGCCGCCGCCGCCGCCGCCGCTGCTGCTCCAGCCCCGGCTCGGCAGCGCGTCCTCTCCCCGCCTCGCCGCTCCGCTCGCGGGCTCGCGGGCTCGCAGGCTCCCTCGCTCGCTCCCTGCCCCCGCCGCTGCCGGCGCCGCGCAAAGGGGAGCCCGGCGGGCCACAGGCTGCCCGGCGAGGTCCCTTTCCCGAAGGGGGAGGCAGTGGGGGCGCGGCGCGGGCGGGGCGCAGAGGAGAGTCCGGGGGAGGCAGCGAGGCTGCGCCCTCGGCTCCCTACGGATCCCCGCCGGCCGAGCGGCTCCAGGCCTGGCCCGGGAGCGCGGGGCCGCTAGGCAGCGGAGGGAGAGATGAGGAGGACCCGGAGGCTCGCCGCGGGAGGGTGCCCAGGGCGAGGGCGTGAGAGGGGGAGTGACTCCCTGTGCGAGGGCGTGTGTGAGTGAGTGTGTGTGTGTGTGTGTGTGTGTAGAGGGGCGCGCGCGTGAGCTAGGGGTGGGGGGCGGGGAGACGAGGCAGAGCCTGGTGCGTCTCCCCGGGCGAGTGAAGGAATCCTAGGGTGTGCCTGGAGGTGGCGGAGTGTGCCGACGCCGGTGTGAGCGCGTGTGCCGGCGAGGGTGGGCACGGGGGTGAGTGTGGCAAGGTGAGCTCGGCTTGGGGTTGAGGACGGAGTGCGGAGTATGGCGTGAGTGTGAGCTTGAGGGCGTGTATGCTGGGGACCCGGGGAGAGGTGGCAGGGAGCGCCAGTGTGTGCGCGCGTGGGGTGTGTGTGGACCTAGCTGGGTGACTCTTTCACACCGACTGTCCACGCGACACCAGCACTTGCTTGCGGCAGAGCCCGCCACCGCGCAAGCTTTCCGGCTCGCAGCGGTTCTCTGCTCCGTGCCGGGGCTGGAGAAGTCCTGGGGGGACACACACTGCCCTTACCCCACGTAAGAGCAGCTCTTCTCTCAGAGCGCGAGGGGCACGACCCCAGGGTAGGGATTCGCCCTCCTATTCCGCCACGTGTACCCAGTACCCAGATCCGAGAGTGTGGACTTGGGAGCGTGAACTCTCAACCCGAGACCGCCCAGTTCTTCGGTCGCTCCCCGAAGCCCATGGATCCCCGCTGTGCGGTGCCTCGGCCCGGGATGGGGAGCAGGCGGTCGGCACGTGCCCATAGCGCCGGGCGGATGGAGCTGCGGAGCATCCCCGGAGAGTGGTATTCGGTCCCGACTCCCATACTCCCGGCCGCGTCGCGCGGAGGGTTCAGTCTTCTCCCACTGTGCCGACTGGCGGCTCCAGCCTTCCCGGTGTCTCCGGCCTCTGTGCCCGGAATCCCGGGATGCCGGCCTGGCGCTCCGGAGGCGAGGCGGCTGCGCGCTTCAGCAGGGACTGGAACGCAGGGCTTGAGCGATCCCAGTTCTGGGTGTGGAGAGGTGTATGCCTGAGACAGAGACCGAGAGAAAAGCAAAGTGTGCCGTGAAGGGGAGGGTGTGCTGGGAAGGGCAGTTTTAGCTCGGGCTGGAAAAGGACCTCCCTGAGTCCAAACAGGGCTTCTGGCTCCTAAGAACCCCTAGCCCTGTGCCAGACTAAGGGGTGGGGGTCAGTCATTGTGGCCTAAGCCCCTGTGGGCCTCTGGGAGCTCAGAGCCCCTCATTCACCCATTCCACCCACTCTCCCCAAAACCTCTTCAGCGTGTCAGTCTGAAACGTGTACCCTTGGCCCTTCAAGAGGTGGGCGTGGGCTTCATTAGCATTTGCCAGGAGTCCCAGAGCGGTGTGGTATTTGCATACCGATTTGCATACGGTAATAATGATTAACAACACTGCCACTCCCTGGCAGACAGGGGAAGAATTCAGGGAAGGCCCTGGCAGTGCTCCCACCTCCCTCCTCCCTTCTCTGTGGGGAAGAGCTAAGTTTCTCACAACTGCCATCCTCAGCTACTCTGACCCCTGGGAGGGCCTCAGACTCTGGGTGGGCAGGTCCAGGGAGGGCCGCTCTCCTTCCCTCCTCCACCCGATGCCCACTTGGGAGAGTTAGAACCCAGTGTTTTATTTCTGCCCACGTTTGAACTCCTGTACATTCCCACCTTTGTTTTGCATCCCAGGGGGTAGCTCAGGGCCTGGGTCTGGCCAAAGCTTGGAGGCTTCCCGAAACAAAGTCGGAGGCTTCCTCCTGCAGAGACGTCAACTGATGGGACAGCTGTGCTCTCTGGTGCCTTATAAGCCCTGTTTGAAGACAGGTCACTGATTTAGACACTCCCCCCTTTCCCGACACCCCCCCCCTCCCCCGGGCGCCCTTCCCACACACACACAGCTGGTGCTGGTTTTACCAACTCCCAGGGCTCACTTCTCATCATTTAAATGAAGTGGCTGTAGACTATATTCTCCTTTCTGTCTAGAAGATCTAGAGGAAAATAGGAGACTTGAATATCTAGTCTAGTCTAGTGTGGTATTTATTTACCAACCCTTCTCACCACCAGGTGACCTGGAAAATAAGAGGTTGCAAGTGATGAGCAGAAAGGAGGCCCCTTGACACCGGCAGCTGGAGGAGCCCCCCCCCACCATGCTGTCCCTCCCACTGGCTCCCCACCCTCCACTGCATCTTTCCAGCACTGCCTGGGCTCGCCTTCCCCCACCTCTGCCTCTGGCCTGGCCTGGCTGGGATTTTCACTTGCTTTTCCCCCATGACACGGCCGCTTTTCCTTTAACTCTCAGCTTCTATTTAAAAAGCTAATTTGGGAGCTTGTCGATGCTCCCAATTCAGACATTTTAAATAGGAACTGAAAGTCAGGAGCTGCCAGGGCACTAGATTGCCTCCCCTCGCTACCAGCACAGCTAATGCATTTGTTCAGTGACTCCGCTGGCCCTGGCCCTGTGTGTGGTGTGTGTGTGTGTGTGTGTGTGTGTGTGTGTGTGTGAGAGAGAGAGAGAGAGCATGAGAAAGAGTGCGCCAGCTTACTGTGTATTTCAGGCTATCTTTTCTATTTAAAGACAGGGCTCCTATGGACGACTATTCTCTGTGTGTGTGTCTTTTCCAAGCTGTGCACACATGAGGATTCTTCTTTAGTCCCGTGGCTCTGGCCGCTATTTGCAGAGCTCGTCACCGTGTGGACCGTGAGGGTAAGAAGCAGCCCAGCTCCAAGTCTGCAGCGTCTTTGCTGACATGCCAGGCTGGTGTGTCTGCGCGGCTGTTTCCCAGGGCTGCTGTGCTCAGGCTCGCTCCTCGAAGCTGTGCCTCGGAGTGTCGTGAAGGTTGCTCCCACCCTCACCACTTGTGGCTGTTCTACTTCAGCAACTTGCCCCACGGTGGGGAAGGAATTTGGAGAGTGAGGCTGCACTTCTGAGGGTTGCAGGTTTTCTACATTCAATGTGCTGTGTACCTTGGAAGTAGAAAGCACAGACTTTGAGGTCAGACTGCCTGGATTTGAACCTGCCTCTGCTGTTTACTAGCTGTGTGATCTTGGGCAACCTACTTAGCCTCTCTGTGCCTTGATTTCCTCATCTCTAAAATAGCAATAAATAGTACTATCTACCTTATAGGGTCTTAAGAAGATAAATAATTATCACAGGTAAAGCACTTAGAGCAGTGCCTGGAACATAGGAAGTACAATATAATTGTTGGTTGTCGTTGTTATTCAAGGCAGGAGTGGTGCAAGCAGGAAGTGTAAATAAGTCTGCCTGGGGAGGAAGGTAGAACTGCTGGATTGTATGCACAGACACAGGCGGACACACACCTCCATGCATGTAACAAAAATGCCAGGCCACAGCCCACAGCGGGTCAAGTTCACCCTGCTGAGATAGTTGATTCTGTAAGGCCCAGAAGAGGGAGACTTCTGATGAAGGATAGAGGAAGAGCCACAGGGAAGAGGATAAGGAAGGGGCTGGACCATGTCGAAAGCCCATGCGGCATTTCCGGGGGGCCAATTTTATGCTGGAGGAGTAAGTCCTGGGACCGTGACTACCTGTGGACACAGCCTCCCTTATTTACCTCAGTAGGGGTGCCCTTCATTCTCCCTAAGTCTCCCCTTGGGCTTGAGGTTCTCTCGCTTTGATCTTGCCATTGCCTCCTATCCTTATTCCTACAGCCAGGCATATGAGCATTTACCCAGCAGCCATCAGAGTTCATTTTGCCTTAGTCCCTGAGCATCTAATCAAGGCACAGAGAGGTTAAGTGGCTTCCCCAAGGTCACACAGCTAGGGACTTACGAGGCCACTAACAAGAAGGAGAGCAATAAAGGACTGAGAATAGAAAGGCTGTCCAAGGGATCCAAAGCAACATTGCAAGTCCTCGGATTGTATCAAGCTTAATATCAATCTTAAATTGAGGAGCCACCATATGCTGGGCTCCTTGTTAGGGCTCCAATAATCCTGCACCATAGGTATTACTATCATTTTATAGACGGGAAAATGGAAAGTGATTGAGCGTAGGGACACATCGCAGGCCACATACCTCGAGTGAAGCTCTGAACCCTCCCTCTTGCCACTCTCCCAGGCTGCTGGTTTTTGCTCTTCTGAGAGTAGAGGGTCTGCCCTAAGAGGATGCTCTTGACCTGGCTCTGTTGTCCTCTCCTGTGTTTGGCCTCCGTAGGTTGAGTATGGGGTGAGGGCTCTGTGTCCAGGCTGGGGTTGTACCCTCAGGGTGAAGTCTTCCTGAGGAATTCCAAAGCTTGGTGGTACCTTGGCTTTCTCTAGTTTTCCAAGGTGAGGTAGATGGTGGTGTGGCAAATGCTGAGGAGCTTTGCCCCAGTCCCAGAAGGCCAGGGATTCGTCTGCTGGGTACCAGCCCAGATTGTCCAGCTTGGCCAGGCCAGGATGTACTGCCCAACATTGGTGGCCTTGATGGCTGACCTCTCACAACCGTCAGATATTTCTGGTCCCTTCCTGAGGGAGTGGGGGAACCCACACTTCCTGCAGCCCTAACCCCATTTGGGAGGCCAGTAGTTGCCTGGGTGTTCATCTCATTAATCAAGATGCTTAGACCAGTTATGGCAAGTGAGAAGTCATCAAAATTGGTGGGCTCCAGTGGGGCTTTTGTCCTTCCAGGGGAACTTTGCCAGCCCGACACCTGCTTCAACCCTGGCAGATCCTGGGTAACCATAGTCCCGGTGGGGGGTCATTAAGACCTCCCTCAGAGGGAGAGGCTAGGTGAAGGAAG